ATACCGTTTACTTCAGCATAGTAAAATAGCTAACCTTGAGTAGTTAAAGGAAACTTACAATTAGATCGGTAAGTGTACCTTCAAGCAGTATAGTAGAGTAGCTTCAAAGTTAGAAAGTGCAAAAACATCTTGTGACGATATCGTCCGCATAGTAGACCAACTTCAAATCGGAAAAGCCATCGAAAAACCTTGCCTGCGCAACTACACAGCAGAGCAATATCATCAAGAAACCTGCGCAAAAAACAGCGTTCCGCGAAGGTTTATGAGCTCCCAGATTTGTGTGGAGGCAGGTTACGGGCTTTCCCTGATTTCAATGATAAAGTTAACGGGAGAGTACGAAAAACAATGCTGCATGAAGTTGCAACAACTTTACACTTACATTCAGGGAAAGTCCGCAACCCGATGACTCCTTAATAGACGTAGCATAGCTTCAAAACTGAAGACAAATTCAAAAAAACTTTGTTTTCTACGAAATCGATGAACTACCGTAAAAGAATCTGGAGATGAATGTTTAAACAAAACGCCGTTTATCACTTTTTTGCCTAAAGAAACAGCTCTATAGCGGGATGTAGATTGAATATTGGAAATGAGTCGATTACTCCAGCATCGTAAAACCTGCAGTGATTTAATCTAATATATAAAGAAACGTAAGCGCAATTCAAAAATCTGCAAATAGCGGGAAACCGCGCGGCGGTCCCAAAGCGCGGATGCAATCTAGCACATTCAATTACAGGTTCACTAGTTACAGAAAGAAGAGGACTTTGGAAACAAAAGTGCTGGGAAAAGAATCGAAAAGCCTAGTATTTAGTGCCGATAGACTCTCGCGACGCTCCAAGGGCAAAATCCGACACGTTGCGCTTCAGCTGCAATAGTGGCAACTGGCGCAAAAGCAGCTACTGGCTGCAAAAGCGACAACCGGCGCGGTCTGGAGGCTCCCTTACTGCTGCATATAAAGAGTTCAAGTTTCGCATTGCATGCAAATAACATTGCTTAGCAATTTGCCAAAAATTCTCGCAGCCTCATACACTGAACGAACGGGCCACTGGGGGAAAAACAGCTTGGGAAAACTTGTCGCCTTACAAAAGTTGAGTTAGAGATGCACTTCTAAGCCTTGAGATATGCAGTGCAACCAGCATTTATTCAACTTCAAAAAAGGAGACTCTGCAGAGCAAATTTGCCTAGACGCCAAATGACCGCAAAAGTTCAATAGATTTTTAGGCTGTCGCGAAGAAATCGGCTGATCCTTGCTCCTTTGCAAACGTTATACCATTTGGAGTTTAACGGTGGTTTGCAAATGTGACGGAAAAAGCATTGCTTGGCATTCGTCAAATCTTCAGTTGAATTAAATCAGATTCGAAGCCTTTCTACTCAAAAGTTGGGCTCGGTGGTCTAAAAGATTTTCAAACATGAGCAAAACCCTGCTTTCACATAGATGAGCACAGGTCCGATGCTCGCAGAGCTTCGTTGGAAACATGGAGACGCTACTGCTACGAAAACGTTTGTGCGACTGTCACATTCAGGAAATGTTCGATTTGCCAAGAAGGATATCATTTGCAAAAAGTGCACAAACTCTTTCGTGGCAACAGCGCTTCGAAGAAATCGGCTGATCCGTGCTCTTTTGGAAAGGTTGTATCATTTGGAGTTTAGTGATGGTTTACGAATATGACGGAAGAGCACTGCTTGACATTCATCAAGATCTTCCGTCAAACTTCAGATTCGAAGCACCTCAAATATTGGGCTGGTGGTCTAAAAAATTCTCAAACACGAGGGACCTGCTTTTGCGTAGACGAGCACGAGTCCAAGGCTTGCAATACTTCATTGGAGACATGGAAGCGCTATTGCTACGAAAGATTGTGCATTTTTCGCAAATGATATCCTCCTTCACAAATCGAACATTTCCTGAATGTGACAGTCGCATAAACTTTTTCGTAGCAGTAGCGTCTCCATGTTTCCGATGAAGCTCTACGAGCGTCGGATCAGCGCTCATTTCTCTGAACGCAGGATTAGTTAAGTTTGAGGAGTGTTTAGACCGCTGAGCCCAATTTTTAAGCTGGAAGGTGCTCCGAATCTGAGTGAAGGCAGATTTTGAACATGCATAGTGATGCTTTTTCTATCACTCGCTAACTACCAATAGACACTAAATGGTGCCTTTCCAAAGTAGTACGATCAGCCCATTACTTCGCGACGATCTAATGACTGACTCAATTTTTCTGGTCATTTGGCGTCCAAGCAAATTTGCTGTAAAGCCTCCTTTTTTTAATTTTGATGAATGCTGGTGGCACTGCATATCTTGAGGCTTAAAGCCAGCGTCCCACGAGACTAAGGCACCTGGCTCTGGTAGTGATGTAATAGTAGACCTAATAACTAAGCGACGACAAAAGTTTGCAGCGCGAAAGGGGGTCTACGAAGTCTACAAATCACCACTCAAATGGCCCGAATCTTACGGTAGGCTCGGGCGAATGCGAGGTAGACGCAGAGTCGATGCGAGACCTTGCGCTCATGACTGTGTGCGCTATATGCACTCTGGCCTTGCGAATCGATATTGCTGTGTGGGTGGCGTCCGGGCCTACCGTAAGATTCGGGCCCACTTTCGGAGCAATTTTCAGGCTTGGTAGACCCCTCTTTCGCTCCGAACTTCAGTCATCGCTTAGGGTCTACTTTAACATCGCCACAAAAACCCGGAACCCATTTTTTGCAGAAACGCTGCCTTTAAAGGAGCATCTGCGTTAATACAGGAAGGTGATAAGAATCCCAAAGGCGTTTAGAAGAAGACGGCTGCAAGTTTTCGACCAGCTTTGATTTTGCTGTTCTCTCCATTTTCTTCAAGGTCTCCTTCTGTATGCATGAAACTGCAAGATTTCTTGGCAAATTGTTAAGCAATATCAAAGTTTGGACTCGTTATATGCAGTAATTTTATGAACTGTTCAAATTAGAAATTTTTGACTCAAACATAAACTGTTATCGTACTTCTCGCAAGTTAGATACATGAAAATCATAAAAGCAATGCGATTACAAAACTTCCGTTCTCCTTTCTAAACATAGCATTGGGCTAAGTAGTAACGGGAGGGGGGGGGGGGGGGAATCTGAAGTTAGATCATTGACGCTAATGTATTGCTAATTCTATACGTTCTTCTCATTTTAGCCTTTCTATTATGATAACAATTACGTTACTGGAGCAAAAAATTCTTCCGAAGAGGTTCGCAGAATGCCTGATGATTGCCTCAAAGGTGACGGCACTGTCTACACAAAGTGCACTTTTTGTGATTAAAGACAAAAATTTTCTTCACGCTACTCTCACTGATTGAGTTCTTGGAAATGTATTGCAGTGTTATTTAACTGCAATCGTACATAATATACTGGTTGAAGGTTTTGGTTTGGGTGGAGGAATGAACACCTCAATTAGGCACCGCCTCCGTGGACCACTGGTCCCAACACGATGCACAACAGCAGGACAAAAGGACCAGCAGCCCGCGGAGGCGATGCCTATGAGGCGTTCGTTCCTCTACCCTTTTGGTTTCAGTCCTCTGGGAGATACATTTATATTAATTTTGTGACTGAGCTTTAAATGACTAGTAAAGAACTATTATGGGAGTAAGTGAAAAGCTCAACAAGCAGTGGTGGCAGCTATATTCTTCTTCAGCTTGTCACCTAGATTGTTCTAGCTGATAGTCCTGGCCTCATCCGAGGCTCCAAATTAGTTTAGCTCAAAAAACGTGTGACTTACGCTTCTAAACTTCTTCAAATGTGCGCAAAAAGCGCTTTGGGACGACTTGCCGCATCCTCCCAATTTTGAGATAAAAATGGACTCTAAGCCCCTGCTTACATGATCATGGAGAAATGATCGGCTGGAACATGAAAAATTGTCATTCTTTATTTGAGTAAATAAATCAATAAATCGATGAAAGGGCCCAATGAAGCCGCGAAAAGTAGCCCTAAACCAGCGCTGGGGTCGAATACGTACGTGTGCAAAGTTTCAGCTGGATCGGTTTAGTGGCGCGCGTTTCTATAACGAACGAACAAACGAACAGCTTACAACGTTTGAGTTTTATGTATATATAGATTCATTATGGCTGACGTTTCGGCGTGCCGTAATGAATCTATATATACAAATAATATATGATCTAATATCTATATCTGAATCTATATATACAAATGTAACCGGGGGTATCTAGTGGTATAACGGTTTCAACCGGATCGATAGACTACACGGTTCGAACGACTAATAATTTATTTCGGAAAAACGGCAACAAACAACAATGAACAAGAATGCGTAACTTGAACAAGGCTTATAACGAAACGACGGGCTTTATCCTCTTTGACCACTTGGGCAGGCTTACTGGTTACTCCCTATCTAAGGGGGAGGTCCGCCTCTCTTCGACGGGTAGCTCCCACTAGCGCTTCCTCAGCGCAGTCTGAGGCCTCCCCCTGACTCTCGGTATTATTTATACCCTGCCGAAGGGGTCAGCGCGGGCTTTTCTTCCCGCCACTGGAGATCGGTAGGTCGGTGATCCGCGCCCTCTGACACAAATAATATGCAATCAAATATATAATCTATATGTCGTCAACTTACTTAAAGCTAAAAAGGTCACAGATATTCGTGAATCAAATACCTATTCCACTGCAAGAGCTGAGCCAGCGTCTTGTATAGGAGTTGAGGCTATAATATAGACGTGAAAAAAACTGAGTCAGAGCTTACCGACAGCCATTATGTGAGCGGACGACCATATGCAAACTGTTAATTACTTTGCGAGTAAGTATTTGATCCTGATTCCTTAGATCAAACCCACACAGGATTTGATGCGAGGGCATACACAAGCAATGCTTTGTGGTCAACCCAACTGATACTGATAGTTCTCCAGATGCAAACGAGGGCACCTAGCAATACCTTATTCCATAAGCATTTTCAAAATGTTTACACTATTACCTCCATCAATGCGCTCGTAAGTCAGTAAGCATGGAGAGAACCTCGTGGAGTTTGCTAAAGATTCGCATGCTAATTTCAGAGGACAATGTCCCGCAAACTATTTTTTGTTTTGGTCATGCTGGTGTGCGCTGCTCCAGAAGACTTTTTTTATAAATATGAGTGGGCCATCAGCAAAAGGGTAAGTCTGAATTTTAACTTGCATTGTTGAGTACCCAATCGCTTTTGCAGTGCCTCTTTGCATGTGATAAAGTATGTCCATTTCGGGCCATACGTAGGATAAATGGATACTTATATTTTCGTGACCGGAAATGCATGGACTGCTTTTATAAATGTGCAAGAGAAAAAGAACAAAAAGGGTCAACTCCAAAATCCGTACAAGAGATGTCTCAATAAGTCCGAGGATCCTTTATGAATTTGTAACTATTCGTATATTTTTTGCAAATCCGTAGGTAGATGCTTTTGTGCCTCCGTAACTATTACATGGAAAAATCGATGTATTCCCGATATTTGCATAAACATTTGCCTGTAGCCAGAATAAGAGTAACATATCAACACCATGCTTGCTTCTGCACAGATCTTCTTTGCTTACAAGGGAATGGTCAGAAGTCGAAGTGGCCAAACCAAACAAGCTGCATACCATTTGATGCAGCATAAAATGCTGATTTCAAATCTGTCTTCCATATCTGCAGAACGCCTTTGTAGGCGAAGTTATGAGCAGCTTTACTGCGAAAAAACCGTATACAAAAATTGCAAAATTAGGCGCATTATTGCCCTTTCAGCTCAACTCTAGGTACGGGTCATATGATGTGACCTAGTTGCAAGTTTTGGTCCGACAGTGAGCTAAGAATGGCTTTGTACGGCCAAGTTTGCACTTTACATGCCCAATTTCTTAGCAAAATAATGGCCTTCAACGGCTTATAATTTCGTCCATAAAAGCGCTCTGCAGATAAGGAAGACAGATTTAGAGTCAGCGTTTTATGCTGCATCTAATGGCATGCAGCTTGTATAAATTGGCCACTTCGACCTCTGACCATTCCCTTGTTAGATACTTAGATAGCCCGTCCTCACGTGACGTGCGGGCCCCAGCACAGAAATTGCCATTGATCCCTGTCCCTCGCTTCAGACATCCACGATCTTCTTGGTTGTCGTCGGTGGCTGCATCTACGAGTTCCAAGGGCGAAAGTCGAATCCAGCTGGTTCATTCGTTCCACAAACACGTCTGCCCACCGCGTCGGTGGTCTATCTCGCAAACGTTTGGAGATTCGCGCGGAATCCACTCAGATGTTTTTAGTGTCCATATGTCGTGTGTTCTTCTCATTATGTGACCGGCCCATCGGTGTTTGGCTTTCACAGCGTATTCCGCTGGGTCACGAAGACGGAACATTCTTCTCATATCTGTACTGCGAAGTCCGACTAGATGTTGCTTGTGTCGGGTCATCTTACTGCGCTCGAGCGCTCTGTAGTTGGTCCGTAAAGCTTTCGACGTGATTACAGTGTGGTCTGCGTAATTACAGTGTCGCAGTCTCATCTGCGTAACAGAGCGCCGGCAGAACGGTTGAGTCGAAATGGTGGGCACGAAGCTCCGGGTCCGTCAGTTGGTCGGTGACTTCCTTCAAAGGCCCGAGGGCGGCCCAGGTTGCTTTTTTTCTTCTGTTATGGAGAATTCTTCTCACGTGCATTTCGGACGTTCGATGAACATGGAGAACGACTCAAGGGAAGCAGTAATATAAAAACTTTTTTTCTTAACTAACTCAGCCACACAATCAAATGAGATGTGCAGTTTTGAATGCTGATTCTTCCTAACTTATAAGAGCCCTAGCGCTCTGCTCTGGACAAAGCTAATATATTCACCTTGAAAATAATGTCGTTTCCATGATCTCAAGTTTACTTATGAAGTTTTCGAAACAAAATGGGATGGATGTCAATCAAAAAGAGTCACGTTAGTTGGTAAGCAACACAGATATAACAAAATCTTTTGAAAATGCAGGTTAATAATTTTTTTTCTGAAGGAAGAGGATTGAACTGTAAACTAGGAACTATGTATGCTACGAGAAACAAAGCAAAACGTTATCTAAAAAATTGTTTTATGATATTATGCCAGTGCCAGGTTTGTACGGTGGAATTCTTTATCGGCCTTACGTTTGGACAATTTCGTCTTCGTCGGAGGCCTGAAAGTAGATTGCAGCGTTATATCTGCGAAACCAGACCGCCAAACGCCTCTCCGCACTGTCGAGTCTAGAACTCGTCCCGCACTCAGCGTACTGAGACAAGTTGATCAGAAAACGAACCTTTATCCACCGTAGTGTTAGTGAGAGTCAGTAGAGTCAGTACTTAGCCGCACCGAAGAGACAGCTACACTGAGTCTTGCTCAGCGATCGACACTTATATAGGTGCAGGGCTATCGCTCACAGATCGTTAAGATAGGCAAGAGTTCGGTTGTTATCGACACGCATTCGTTTCTGTTATTCATGCTAGGATTTCTGAGAGAAATCCACGCTGCCTCGACGGTCTTTCTTACTGTAATCTCTGCCTCGTATGACAAGATAGTGCATTTAACGTCAAATTCATCGCATTGTGCGTTTCAATCCTATGTCTTCCTAACGGTGATAACGCATTTGCTCGTCTTTTAGCCGCCAGATGTTCCTCAAGTCTAACGTTCAGCAATCTACCCGTTTCTCCTATATATGTCGCCTTAAGCTTCAAGCATTCTAATTCATATACTACTCCTGCCTTTGCGCAATCGCCTGGTTCTCCATATGGACAGACAATACAGCGCTTTGACAGACATTCTGCGTCGTAGAGTCTGTTCCTTACCAACTGCTTTTTGATGTTCACGTTCGGAATGTTCACAAGTATAACATCATTTTGCAGTTGTGCTCGCGCTAGGCATTGTTTTATTGCTGCACTGAGTTCATCGAAAATAAAAGGCATGCACAAGGGTACTTTGTTGTTATCGCGAGTGTGACTACCGTCTGTAAGCTTCGAAGCGCAGCGGAAACCTTGTGGTGAGTATCCATTAATACGCGCAATTTGTGTAGCCAACCTTTTAGACTCAAGTCGTTCTTGATCACCCGTGCATACACTAACAGCAGTTCGAAACATATTGCGCACAACGGCTCGTTTCGTCGTTGACGTATGCGCTGAGTTGGCGTGTAGCAAGATGTTCTTCGAACTTTCCTTTCTATACCATTTCAGCGAATGGTATCACCACACAAACTTATTTGGGCATTTAGAAAGGAAAGCCATCCGTTTTTCGGGATTTCTCGCGTAAGCTTGATGTGCCGTGACTGCTCGTTCAATATTCTGAAGCATTCGTCCATTTCGAACTGCGTCGATGTTATAACGCAGCAGTCATCGATGTAACGGCAATACATCAATGGCAAGCGTGCAAGTACTGGTTCCTCGATCTTACTCATAAAACAAATTGCAAGGACTGGGGCTAAACGTTGTCCCATCGCTAATCCTCTGATCTGCGAGTAATAGCTCCCAGACCACTTGGATATGTTACATTTTAAACATTCTTTGATGAGGACCAGTATGCAGCCTTTGCTTAGACCAAAAGTGACCATGTTGGAATAATGCATGTCTAACAACTCAGACAGGGCTTGCAGTGCGTCATCGTTTTGCACGTTAGTGTATAAAGATGTAACGTCGAAAGACTCTACTACACTATTTCGATCAACATTCATATTGCGCAACTGCTCTATGAACTGCTGGGTGTTAGCTAAATGCGATGGTACTTTTGGTAGCAATTGGCTTACGATCGTCTTCAGAAACCACGAAATCCTGTCTGTAGGGCCACCAATGCAGCTTATTATTGGGCGCACCTTATAAGTTATTGCGGACATAGAGTGAATTTCCTGCGCTGTTATCTTGTGCGTTTTCAGCAGATGATAGAATACCGGACAGATTGGGTTTTTTAATTTCAGTCTATTGATAAATTTCTTCTCCAGTCCTGCAGATTTCGCTACGTTAACCCAAACATCGTTCAGCTTTTTGCACTGTGCCTGGAATTTTTTCCTTGAAGAACGCTGGTATACCGTAGAATCGGAGAGGTGCATTTCTGCGATCTCTCTATCTAATGTTTGCAGTGTTTGTTGGAACTTGTTATCCAAAAAATTGAATCCCAGTATCGGAAGACTGCTATTATACAGTGCTGGCCAAAACTATAGATCCACTATAAAAAACTGTCGTAGTTCATCTGCTTCTCAACGAATTGATCTGAGATTTGGTACAGCTGTGTGATCAACAGGCTTCCATCAGTAACCGGAGCGGATCCCGCTTTCGTTAGATTATTTAGGAAAAAAACCAAAAATTTTGACAAAAGCAGGCTCGAAGGTTGGCCAAAACTATAGATCCACCTGAAATTCCTGCTGCCTGCTAAAGTAATTCTCTGCTTTCGAAGTATTTTGTGCATCTACATAGTCGGGATTCAAAGCACCGGCTTTAGTTCACCTGCGACCTTTATAAGAAACGCTCATGTGCTTTTTTCACTTAAAAAATACTTTTCTGCGTGTTTTGTTCCCGAAAATGTGTTTTTGTAAAGGATCCCGCACTATTTTGACTGGTTTGAAAGTGATAGGGTTCCATCTATCTTGTAGATGCTTAGCAGAGTGTGAGCATTAGGAAAAAAATTCGAGTTTTTGTATCCAAAGCACACCTGACATAGACCTAACCGCAGGCCTGCGCTCGAATTTTTGCCTCAAAAATTGGTGTACGCTATTTTTGTAAGCCCAAAATAATGTAGAAGTATTATTTAGCATTATTCACATGAAAAGAAGTTTGTAAACTACAGTTATGATTGTTTGCGAAGTCGCATTTCAATTCTTTTTCAAAGCATAAGTCTTGCGGCGTGTTCGGCAATATCAAAGTACTTACCAAGTGGTACTTTCCTTAATTTTGCCACTGTTTAGCTGCTAACTAGTGAATACACCATGCATTGTATGTTGTTGTGACTCAAGTAAGCATTATGGTCAGAACCAGAAATAACTTCAAGGCTTGTTACAAATCACTTTTTGCAGGATGAATCCTCAGTTAGCCTGCATACTAGGATCTGCAGAAATCTGCAACCACTGCACACGGACTCTCATACATATTAACAATGTCATTACCAGGGTCAAGCGTGGGGTGCGGCACGCCCACCTGGGGGGTCGTATTGAGGAGTCAAAAGGGGAGGGGGTCGTAGTTGGGTAATCGATAATAGTGATAACATGATATTCGTATCATATCCATCATTAGCATGTCAATTAACCCCTGTAGACAAAGTGTGAGCGAATTCTGAAGATTCAAGGTACTAGGCTACCTAAGTGAAATGGTCATATTCCAACATGGCTAACTTTGTTTCAAAGGTAAATTAGCTATCCGTTTTTGCCCTCAAGACAAAGCACTACTTCTTCTTTGTCCACCTCAGATATCCCGCTTCAAAAGACCCCCAACCTGTGAAATTAGAAGCCAACCAAAATCTCGTTTTTCCCATTTTTCGCTTGTGATCGCTGTGCTTTCACCAAATATTACTTATAACTAAGAAGAC